AGTAACAAATGAATAATAAATGGATTCAAAATATGTCCATTTTTCTTGTTTACTAAAAACAAGTGAACCACCTAGTATAAGCATTGTTGTCATGCCAAATTCAATAGCAATTAATTCAAAACTAGATACTTTATGACGACGAAAACCCAGCAATCGTTTTAGATGTGATAACACAAAAGAAATAATTGCATTTAATCGTTCACCAGTTGATTGAAACATAATTAAATTAAGAGGTCTATGAAAACAAAAAAAGAAACTCTTAAATAAATAATGATTTATATTTATATACACATACACTCCTGCAACTGTATAAGCCATACAAAAAATTTTACCACCAACTAAAACCAAATAACAAAAAACTTTCTTTTTCTTTATTTAATATAGAACATACTTGTCTTTGGCGTTGTATGTCCATAACCTAAATAAATATTTTTTATTTGAAATAAATTTCAACGAAAAATTACCAATAAGAGTCACAACTAATGTTGAAAAATAGAAAGCACCAGGAAATGTCCATTGTTTAGCTGTACCAGGACGTACATGTCGATTTTCAAATATAGTTGTTGTTAAACTATGAAAAACACTTTCATTTTGAATTGAATCATTTTTATATAAAATACGAGCCATTCGAAGTCTTAACGCAGCACGAATGCGAGCTTCTTCTTTTGATTCCACTGAAATATGAGATAACAAATCATTATCGTATAAACATATTAACAGAAAAACAAAAAGACAAAGAAAAACTTACAAGCATCAAATACAGCAGCACCGAACATTAAGTAGGCAAGCACTATGAACATAAGTGCAAATGTGCGTACGTTTTCTGTGCCGAAAATCATTCGATAGATGATGGACTCGAACCCTGAGAGTCAAATATGTTACAATATTCGACAAGAGACCATCATTATAATAATATGATACTTTATCATATCTAAAGTTTATTAATGATGATATAGAAAAAAACATGATTTAATAGTTGAAGTATTTCTGTCCATTAAATAATTTCTTTCTTCCTTATAGAAATTGTTTTCCTCTCTTAATCATGTGTCATTTGAAATAATGAAAGTGCCACTCTACTTATCTACCGTCGTAACAGTCAAGCAGTCACACCATAGAAAATCGGAGAACAAGAGAAGAAAGACGAGAAAAAGAAGAAGCACAAGAAGAAGAAGAACATAGAAAAGCATAGAGCATCTTTCTTGAGTTATTTGGGATGATAGCGACGATCCTATACAAAAGAATAATGAAAACATTTTTCTGTATTTTCTCAGCACGCGCTTGCTTGTTAATGTTAGCAAGAGTGATGGCGATCCCTTCGCGTGCTTGGACTCTGACGGCGATCTAATTGTGCAATAAATAATATTATTGTATTAGTAGTTTAGTATGCCCATTTCTATAAATACTCATCATTCGTTACGTTTTGACTATAAATTGTTTGCCAATACATTCTTATCATAATAAGACACTGTGCAATCAACTACAAAATATGCTGTGTATTCGTCCATTCACGTATACGGGCAAACATCCTTAGAACAACACTAGCTAAATTCCGAAGAATAGTTTTCATAGCTACCTGACGTTAACAGAGATAAACACTTTTTTTTTTCTTCGTTTTTTTTTGAGAGCAGCACTTATACAAATGTGGATGTTTCCACTTAAAGAACAAAGTAATAAATTGTCATATTGCTTATTTGAAATCATACAAACATTGCTTTATATAGTAGGGAAAATCAATCAAACAAATATTGCGCACATAACCATACTAAGAAATGTATTTCTTCAATTTACAATATTGTTTGAATGTATGCATATATATATATATATATATATATGTGTGTGAACTATTCGCTTATGACTTAGAGAAGAGACATCAAAGAGATGAATTACATATTATCAAGAAAATGAAACCTATATGTAACTGTACCTGTAGAATTTTTAATTCAGGACATCCTTCTATTCTTCTCTTCTCTATAAACAGAATAATATCATAGCCATCGTGTTCGATAGATTATCAAGAAAAAAGAAATAAAAGAAAAATCTATTAAGTTGTTTCTCTCTTTCTCGGACAATCTAATTGCTATTTTTTTTTCTATAAGCCAATTTTCCCATATGTATATGATTGAAAGTCTTCTATCATCATCTCTAATCAAATTATTTTATATATTACAATCGAATATCTAAATATCCATAGATTAATGATGCCTAAAAGTTAATAATCTATTAGTTTTTCAATTCCGAACTGTTTAAAAAAGAAAAGAATTAATTTAATCAAATATATAAATTAATTGGACTTACAAAAATGAAAATATCCAAGATTCGTTTTAATGAATAGAACAAAAAAATCATCATAAGGAAAATTCATATGTTTGTTGATCAAATCTAGACTAAAGAATTTCATGTTATATCCCTATGGAAATACGCTTCATTTTCTATTTATATATATTTATTTATTTAAGAAACCTAATCAACAATAGAATTCAAGGCATGCACGTCTATTCCTATATGCGTGCTTGGTTTTGTATCTAAGCTTTTTAACCATCATTATTTTCTTTTTTATTTTTCTTTTATTATCTTTCTCGAGATATTCTTTATCTTTATTGTGCAATTTAAATAATAACAATATTCATTCATTTAATTAATCTATAGTGCGTGTATATTTTCTCAGAGAATTACTTCTGTTTTAATTATAAGTTATATAGATTACGGAAAAGACAATAATTTTAATCAACACTATTATATAAAAAGACAAACTAAAGCATGATTGAAACAGTTCGATTAAGCGTAATTAATTATCATCAAAAAAAAAAAACAAAGGAAAAATAAAAGCTAAACTTGTCATGGGGCCATTTTTTTATTCTCGCTAAACAAAAATGTACGTTTTACTTAATTGAATTCATTTTACACATGATTACTTATGATAACAAAAAAATAAAAATAATAAGGACAACAATTGTAAACGAGATGAACGGTGAAAACATGCCTATATACACACAAAACATATACGCATGCGCAAATACAGAAATTAATTCTCTACTATCCAAGATTCTCAGGCTCGCTTTTCTTTATTATTTCATTCAAGCTTAATAGGCCTTTACAGTCATATGTAATAAAAATAGAAGAACTAGTAGAATCTTATAATTCTGATTTGCTCAAGTGTCATGTTTACTCAAGATGATGCACACTACATAAAAAAGAATCTTTGGTATAAAATAAAGACTTACAGAGATGATATTCAATGATTTGCATATACTTTTCAAAAGTTAAAAAAAGAATTTATTATTGGATTATTAATTTTTGATGCTTATATTAACATATCTAATTCTCCTAAAAGAGAAAAAAAACTCATTCTCTCAATCTATACTGTTTTTCTATTCATCATTATAACGGGTGTGACAGCTGTTACGGATTCTGTCAACAACACATTGATGAATAGTAGTGTTAAACGTTCTCGTTCTATGACTACAGCAAATAGTATATCGAAATAAATAAGAACAACAAAAAAATTGATATGATAACAAGTGTAGTTAACAAGATCAATGTTTCCGAATATATAGATCTGCTTTTTTTTTTACATGAAGCATGATTTTTTAATGAAAAAATAAGACAGAATCAACAAATAATTTAGTAGGATAATATCTTATTGTATAAATAAGTTTTAAAAATTAATTATTAAGATGAAATACTATCATTTATTAATATGAATTTAGATGAATTTTACTTTTGTTATGTTTAAATGTATAATGTATTCATTATTGAATTTCAAAATTAATAAAGAAAATATATCATGTTTTAAGAAAATTTCATATTGATTTTAATTAATTTAGTTTAGATCAAAAGTTTTTTTTTTCTTAGTTTATTTAATAAAAATTATCTTTGAGATGTTTTAAAACATATTTGTTGATTTTATATTATGAAATATTTGAGTATAATATGATGTGTATTTGACTAATCTCATAATTCCAAAGCTACAGAACACTGTTTTTGTCAGCGAAAAAAAAAATTATGATGATGAATCTTATGTGTAAATAACAGCTATAAATAAAATGACTTCATGTGAAACAATTGTTACTTATATATTCTTTAAATAATCATTCATAGTAATCGTTTACTTGTTTCTATCTTCAACGATAACTTCCAATAATTAACTTATAGAACACAAAATTTTCTCAGTGAATGTCATAATAGAACATGTGTCAATGCATATGATATAACATTAACTTTATGCCTACGGCTTAAACCATATGGCCATGAAGATAATATATTCGTTGATTTTTTTTTTCAGATCTTCTTTCTTATTATTATTATCAGCTTAACATTAGAGTTTTTTTCCGTCGTCCAACAAAATTCAGTTGACAATCACAACTCAGTACTGAACACAAGTGACATTAATGATGAGATCAAAGTATATATTTACGAAGACTGAGTATAATATTTACAAGACATGCATCAACTAAAACATCTTGTCTGACAATCTATCTTTAGGCGAATTTGGCTACACGAAAAAAAAAAAATCCTAAGACATATTCTTATTCTATTTGTTATTTATTTTGTTTCTAAATACAATCTTCTTTAAAATTCGAAGAGGATAAGTTGATAAAAGATTCTTATGAAAGAAAAAGATAAAAGATTTCTTAATGTAAAAAAGATAATCATGGATCATGCATTATTTCTGTTGTTCTGGTTGTTTTGTTTTTTCTTAACATAAAAACGTTAAGACAAATATTTTCTCGTTTATCGACAAAAAAGAAACTAGAATAGATTCATTCATACAAAATTAATTAATTAATTAATTAATTGATAGAATGTCATCATTAGCATAAATTCATTTTTTATTATGAATTATTTATTTTCATTTTACATATATACATATGTGAGAGAAAAATTTATATATATATATGCATGTGTATGTTATTTATACATGATTTTATTTATATATAAAATGCAATTGACAATATAGAAAATAAATAAATATATATAGGTGCAAATTTATCACAAATAAATTAAACAAATTCTGTATGAATATCATCATACATTCTTGGTGAGTAACTTCGTTTAAAACAATTTTTATATTGACATATCCATAATGATATTGTTTCATTCGATATTTTATCACAAAATGATAAATCAAGAAATTCCAAATATAAACAACGTTTTAATATACATTCAATTGTTGTTTCAATAATTATACTTGAACCAAGTAAATCAAGTTGACGTAATTGTAGACAATGTTCACTAACTGCTATTATATCGTCATTATTAACACCTAGTTTTAAAAACGAAAAAGATTAGATTTTATTCAAAGAGTAATAATTTTTCAATTAAAATAATTAATCAACTATTGTCTATTCAAAAATAGTCGAATCACCATGTACAAAATAAAAAATTATCTTGAATTTAACTGATCGAAATATAATAGAATATAGATTACACTTATTAAAGTTTTTTTTTATCCTATTTTCTATAAGTACTAAGTATTTGTTTTTTTTTTTTGATTATTTAAACTTACGTCGACAAGCTGTTAAGAACAGTTTAATTAATGAATGGCCAACTTGTTGAACAAAACTTTTAATAAAACCTGATGGTGGATCTGTCCAACCAAAATCTATTTCACTTAAATATTTCATATATATTTTTGAATTAATTTCAATAGGCATATTAACAGCTGAATAAAGAAGAGCTAATTCTTCTTGTTCATCTTTTAATAAATTTAATATTCGTCGTTTTTCTTCTCCAACATCAAATTGTAAACCAATAAGAGATAAAAATCCATTTTGTGTTAAACCATATGTACGCCATAGATCGATTGAACGAAGATTTATACAACGCAAAAATAATAATCTAATTATACCAATTGTATCACCTAATTTTTGACAACTACCTAAAAAAAGAAACGTAATAAAACTAATAATTGTGAAGTTTCATTTTGATTTTTTCATTATACGATTGTACCTATTGATAAAACAAAATAAATAGGCCATGCACCTTAAAAATAGTTACTCATCACTTTTCAAGGACAGGATTTACGTCATTTTTATATTTATTACTGAATTGCGTATGTTGAGATCAAGTGACTGTTCGAATTATTAATATAATAATTACCTAATTGTAACTATTTGAATATCTACTTGTTGCACTCGAACAAAAGAATGTTTTTTTTTACTCAAAAATCAACAGATTTGATTAAACATGGAGATAGGATTATGAATTCAATTCATATATCAAATTTAGAATCGAGTGAATTTTTACAACTAAATTGAATCAGTAAGCTAAAATTCTTGATTTCATCGAAGAAAAACCAGTCTATTTAGTATATCAATTAATTAATCAGTTATTTTAAGAAAGAATCCATAGACAAAGTTCAATGAAGACATACAATATTCAAATCATATATTTCTTGAGGTTTCTTCATGAGTTCTGAATTCATAGAACTCTTACTATTTCAACTTCATTCTCGAGATTCACGTCACTCGAACAACTTTAGCAATCCTAAGAGCTCGAGAATTTTATTCACATTTAGATAACAGATCACTCCTAGTGTTTCAAACGAAATTTATATCAATCACACTTTACTTATCCATAAATTTTAAATAACTGTCGTAGTGTTTTACATTCAAAAATTCGTCATATTTGAAATACTATGAGAGATGACAAATACACAGTACAATTTTTTTCCGTGGATATCTAAACATGTGTATGACGGTAGATGTAAAATGAGAATCAAAATTAAATCCAAACTCATACACTTTTGATAATTTCATGATTTCTAAACTTACGGAATTCGAATATGTTTCAAATTTTTTTAAAAATATGTTTGATATGTATTTTTTCTTACCTAAATTAATAGTTTCTAAATATTTTTTATTATTATCAATTAATGGTAATAAAGTTCTATAATCAATATTAGTTCTATAAACATTTAATAATCGTATATGATTAAGATATTTTAATGGTATAAAATCTAGATTATTTAATGAAATACAATTTTCTAAATTTAATATTTCAATATTTGGACAATAATTAACAATTATTTTAATATATTGTCCATTTAAATATTGACAACATGCAAGATTAAGTTGAATTATATTAAATGAACAAATATTTAATAATTGATTAAATGATGAACATTGTATTGATTTAGTCCATGCTAATGAAAGATATCGAGTTTGTGTACAATGTTTTAAAAAAAAATTTTCTATTGAAAAATTTGTTATACCATTCCAATATGGTTGTAAATTAAGTGATTGAAATTGTAATGGATGAAGACATTGATCATGTAATATATGACATGTTGATGATAAACGAACTAATGAACGTAAATCAAGATAAGAACAAATTATAAATAATATATCGAATGGAAGTTTAGTTAAATCCATTGAAGAATTCATTTCTTCATTTTGATTTTTGACTAATGTTGTCTAAAATTGAATTTAATTATAATATAAAAAAAAAAAATTTATTTAGAAATACTTTGATTAACCTCAAATGATGATAAAATAGATTTATTATTGTCTTCATTTAAAATTAAATTAGAAGATAAAATTTTTCCATATAAAATAATTGTATCAATTTCTGAATAATAATTTACTGTACTATGATCAAATTCCAAACGAATAAATCTTGTTGGAAATGAAAATTTATCTTTTAATGAAATTTTAACAATACGTGGTAAACGTGCAGCTGGTGGAAAAGTATGATGGGTATCTATATTTAATATTTGTTTATTATTGGTATTTAAATGTAATGGCTGAAGAACAGATGAATTTGTATTGATATGATTAGGAAATATATCATTCATCGATTGATGACCTAAAAATAAATTTATTAGAAAAATAATAACAAGTTTATAGTTGATTCAATTTTTGACACTTCAGAAGTCGGATCACTTCTCGATCGAGACGATGTTCATGTGATGAATGATAAAAAAGTCTAGAATGGTTTGGTTTTCTATGTCTTCGTTTTCGAAATTTTATTGGATTTTTCAATAGGAAGTTTTGGTAATCTTCAGGTCATCTGAAAGTTTTCAATTCAAACTTTGCATAAACAAAATCTTTAATGAGATTAGCTTTGTGAACTGTAAATATACGAAACAAAAATTTGCTTTTACACATAAGAAAATTTTGAATATGTAATATCTCTGGTAGAATATACGAGAAAAGTTACAACTTGTCCAATGAACTAACCTTATTAAGAATTTTGTTTGTGCAAAGTTTGAAATTGATACTATCACGTGACCTAAAGATGATCACAGTTTTTTGTTGAAAAATTCAGTAAAATTTCAATATCTCGAGCATGATATCCGAAAAACTAAACCAATTTATACTTTTCTAGTACTCATGAAATGAACATCGCCTCGGTTAAAAAGTAGGTTGACATCTAGACAGATTGCTTTATTAATCTACTATGAGAAGAATAAAATTATCTTGATCTTATATAAGATTAGTTAAATAGTAAAATAAAAATTATAATGTAATCCAATCAAAATTGATTAGACGAAAAGATTTCATAATTGTTCTATTCTATTAAAAGATTTCATGATTATGTAAACAATAAATTTCATTATCTAATTTTTATTATTCTTACCATTTTCAATAAAATATTCATTATTATCACTCAATATAATACTAAATCGTTCAGGAAATGTCCATATACGATGCCATGTTATATTTCCATATTCATCTTCTTTACCAACATAAACAACTTCAAGTGTACCTGGATTATATGTTTCATAAATATTTAAACTTAAACATTCATAAAAAAAATCTTTAAATTCAATATCAATAAAATCTCGACTAGTAAAATGATTTTCCCAACGTGTAAAATTTTTAATTGTTTCTTTATATGATGGCATATTTATCCACCATGGACCATATGTACGAAAAACAAGTGCATGTGTTGAATCACCGTATAAAGGATATATTTCAGGATTTGAACATACATTTGATACAACATAACTATCACTACCATTTGAACCATATTGTGATGAAAAATCACGAATATCTATTGGTATTTGTTCCGTTATTGTATTAATTGTTTTTGATAATATTTCAGATTCAGTGAGATCATGATTTTCAGATGTATCTTCAATTTGTTCAGTTAAATTTAATAAATTCATTAGATGATTGTGTAGTATATACAGTCCAGTACATGTTAACATCATGATGTCCTGAGATTCAAAACTAATCTTAAATAAGATTATTCGAAAAAAAAACATCTAAATCAATTTCATTGTCCTTGAAAAGCATTAATATATCATTTCTTATGTGTCATATTATTTACATGAGCAATCGATTTGGTATGTATATGATTCACGAATGTATTAAAAATAAAAGAAAATAAACTAATTGCGGGGACACTAATGTTTAATTACTGTTCGAAATTACTCAAGAAAGAACAGACACGGAAAGAAACGAAAAAAAAAAATCATTCATGTGTTTCCACTTATATATCAAAGTATAAAAGAAGACTTGTTATACATATTGGAAGCACAAATTAAAATTTCTTTGCTATGGTAACTAGACAACTTAATGATGAAAGTTTTGTGGAAAGAAATGAAGTTTTCTTTCCATATACCGATTTAATCGATGAAGAACCACATTATAACAATTTTACAGCTATTCAAAATGCATTACAACATGATCATGAACGGAGACAAACAAATATAGTAAGTCATCATTTAAGTTCAATTCTTTGATATTCTTAAGAAATACATAAGTTAAACTCTTTGATTAATAATTTATATTAAAAACAATTTTTTTTTATCTTGATAAAAAAAAACATCTTTGACTTGTTTATTTTCATACTTTTTTTTAGACAACTCATTATCGAAGTCATTCAAGTAATGATCAATATCGAGCAATTCGTACTCAAATCGAACCATCTTCATTGCATCATTTTTATTCTAATCAAATATTTGATATAAATAGTCAAAATTCATTTAAATCTTCGAATGTTCCTATAAATATTCAATCGAAAAAAATCGATGGACATATATTTAATTTAACTAAAATCGTTCAAGATATTGGTTATAATGTAAATAGTCCATTTATGCGTTCTTCAACGAATTCCAATACAAAAAATGTTAGTGCTCTATTAGATATCGTATTAAAAATGGGGGGTGCACATGGACCACTTAAGAATGTTTGGCGTTCGCATATTAATGATGATTATTTTCAAAGATGGTATCTCGAAAAATATTATCAACGTTCTGCATCATTGAATCAACATAATATCATAAAGAGTACAAATAAAGAAACGACGAAATATGGACCAAAACGTGAATATAAATCGAAGCTATATATTGATAATTTAGTTTCGACTAACGTATTACCAAAAGAACAAATGATGAATGAAAGTTATTATCAAAATGATGTAAAACAAACTCATGGTTATGATCAAATGAATACAATGAATACAACATCAAATCAGTCTTTATCAAATGGAATCGAATCAAAAACTAATGGTTCTTCTAATTATGAACGATCATTATCAACATCATCATTAACATCAATTCTTAAAAAATCTAATAATAATAATAATGGAAATTCACAAACAAAACCTCGTGTTACTATTCGTGAACAATATCCAACAAATGAATTTAATCAAGTAGTATCATCACAACAAACAAATCAAGATGATCAACGTATTCTATCAGAATATCAACAATTAATTCAAAATTATCCTGATTTAAATAATGATCCAAATCCTCAAATGATTAGAAAACCAAATTCAGATGAAATAACTTATCAACAAAATGTTTCTGTTCGATATCTTGTTCCACCAACACCTCCTCCACCTGGACCATTAATTATTCGAGGTAAAAAAGTATTCTCATATACAAAGAAAAACAAAACATTCATTTATTTACATTTTTCTTTTTAGAAGTAGTTCCTCCACGTGCACCAACACCTCCTCCAGTTGTAATCAAATATCAAGAACCACCACCAGCAACTCCTCCACCTCTTATTCTTCGCGAAGCTCCACCACCACCACCTCCACAACAAGAACCAACAATTATAACTAAAATTTTACCTCCTGAACCTCCATCAGCACCACGTGTCATTGTCGAACATAATCCACCAGTAAACATTATTTACTTAAATTAATATTTAATAATCAATATTTTTTTTTCTAGTTACCTCCAAAGCCTCAACCAGTAATTATTGAAAAATGGTTACCTTATAAACCAGCACCACCACGTGAAGTTATTTATCAACGTGTTGTTGAAAATCCAGTTTCAGCAGAATTTCAAACAGCTGCTACGCATACTCAACGACAACGTCGTCATTCAGCTGAATTTCAATCAAATTCATCACGTGTACCAATACCAGTTAATGTTCAACGACGAAATTCTATTAATGATTTAAATCAAGAATATATTGTTGAACAACCATCAGGAACATATAATGAATTAGCATGGAAAACACAACAACAACTTCTAGCTTTACAACAGCGTAATAGAGAACAATTACAAGCACATCAACAATGGGCAGCAAATCAATGGCAACAACATGCAAATATGTTTTTACAATATCCAACTCAATTACCAATAACACCTTTAGTTGCTTATCAACCATCTGTTACAATGAATAGAGCAGCATATGTTCAGAGACATGAATATCGTCAACAACATCATAGACAACAATATCATCAACAACATATGCAATATAGTCCAGCATATGTTTATCCTTATGTTTAATTTAGTAATATATATATTCATATATCAGAGTTGAGCTTAAAATGTAGAAACATAAAAATTTTTCATACACTTTAATCGAGAATAAATAATTTTCAAGTCATCAAAATTTTCTTATATAAATTTTACAGGTGATTTTGTAGTCAGAATTTTGATACAGATAGGCTTAGTATAACTGTGCACTGTCTGATAAAGAAACTTCTGGCAGAATTCAACCGATGTAGATTCAATCAGTAAAGGACTATGCTCACAATCATTTATTTTCGATTAGTGCATAAAAATTTTATTGTTTCTACATTTAAACGTCAACGAGTTAATTTTAAAAAAAAGTAACTCCGACATATATTATATACTCTTGTTTATTTTTTCTCATTATAAATAACTACTAAAATTTATATTTAACTATATTCATTTTATAACAATTATTTATTTATTTTTTAATAATAAATTTAATCAAGATAAATAATCTATTATTTAGTGTGTGTAATATTATAATTCTTATAAACTAAGAAAAACTAAATTTCGAATAATTCTAATTCACAATTCAATTATAATCAATGATCTATGAAAAAAAACTAAACACTTCTTTATAATAGTAAATTATTATTTTGATATGTAATTGTTTTCTTTAGAAAACAATCTAATAATAAGAAGATTTAAATGCTTATATTTAATAAACATTGAAAAATAATTTCTAATAATATTCTATCTATGAATTAGATTTGGAAATAAATTAAAATCAATTAATAAAAAAATTTTAAATAGTATCTTCTTCAAATGAATTATTTCTCAACATTAATAAAGAGACAAATAGTGTTTCTCGTGAAAAACAAATTATTCTATAATAAAAAATCATCTTAATCAAAAAAAAAGAAAAAAATATTTTTAATTACCTGTAATTATTTATATGACCTAGTGAATAAATATTCTTTTTCACGTATATATCTCTCTCGATTTATTTTTTTTATGATTAGTTTATATTTCTACCAATCATAATTATATTCTATTGAGTATTTCTTATACACACGTGCTTTATTTCCACACAACGTAAATATGACGAAATAAACTATGATAAACTTTCTCAACAATCTTCATTTTTCAATCGATATTTTCTTTATTATTTTTAGAAAAACAATAGATCATTTTTAGTAACAGAATTTTATTATTTTCTGCTACATTAACTATGAAAATTGTTTGTTATAGAAAAAAAGAATTCCTATTGTTTAGTACAATTCTATGATAGATTTTAAATTTTTATGATGAAAAATAATAGTAAGTTATTATGATGAATATTCAATGTTTTATTTTTAAACTAAATTATATTTATGATGTACAAGTTTATAATTATCGCAATAGTTTTACATTAATTACAGTTTATAATCGACAAAGTATTACTCATGTACGAAAACTTTCGTGATAAATCATAACGTAAATTATACAAATATTTTAACTCACAATTGTAGGCTATCATATTCAATTTTATTATAATTTTACAAAAAATTTCAATCCAATTAACAAAATAACAAACGAATTTCATTTTGATAAAAAAATCACTATTATAGTTATATCTTTAGTTTTCTTAATTTAAATATGTTTTATTAGTGATAATAGAAAATCATATAGAACAAATAATAATATTATAGAAAAATTTTTTTTTTTATTAAGATCTTAAAATATATTCAGATAAATATGTAAAATCATATAGTTAAATCAAGAGAATGTAAAAAAAATGATAATTGATTTTATTTCAACTATATTAATATGCAACATAAAAATATTTGAATAAATTTTTCGTTGTTTCTGTTTTTTAGATGGAACAAATTTCTATTTTAGAATTAGAAGAAGAACTTAATCATATTGATGTTGATAGCATTAAATTAGATGCTATTATACAATTAAAAACATGGCAAAAGAAAATGTATTCATTAATTGATAAAACTTATAAAGATCGTATGCATGAAATTGATTCTATAACATCAAATATATCAAATGAAATAAAAGAAAAACAAAATCAAATTGAAAATCTTCAAACAAATAATGAAAATATTCTTCATAAATTAAAATATGATATTGATTTATTAAAATCTAATCTTATTAATATTAATGAATCAATACCAGATAATTTTTCTCATCGTATTGAAAGAACTATTTGTGTCTCACGTAACGATGACAACCAAGATGAAGAAATTATCGATGATGATACTGATGATGATTATGATGAACCAGTAATTGTTGATATTGATAGACATGAAACACATGTTGGAAATCAAGTTGTTATGGTTGTAGCATCACCACAACAATCATCAATGAGAAATGAAGAAGGACGAATTTCGAAAATTTTTAATTCTCAACCTATTCAACATGCACTTTCTGTTGGTTTAGTTAAAACCATAGCACATATGGGTACAATAGCAGCAACAAGTACAACAACTGTTGCTGCTACAACAATGGCTAAAACAGCTGTTATTGCTACTGCTTGTGGCATTGGTACAGTTGCTTATGGAGTTGGGAAAATTGCACTTGGAACAACTAGAAAAGCTTGGTCATTGATTGTTTCATCGGAAGAATAAACTACTAACATGTCTTTTTTTTCCTGATTTTCTTGTATATTTTGTATTGCTTCTTTTCTGAACGATTCTCTCGAAATCTAATAATTAATACCTACCATTTTGTATGAATTATTATTCGAGTTCTTTCTTTTTTTTTCTTTTAGATATTTAGTTTATGGCTGAAACAAGTGATTATAATCATTTGGATGTTAATACAAATACAACAAATGTTAATATTGAATTAGCAGGTAGATTATATTTACAGAGATTATATTTTTGTCTAGTATATATAAATTATGTTAGCTCGTGAACCATGGCCAACAAATGCTTGTCTCTATGTACCACTTAAAGAACAAATGATTCTTTGGGCACCTGATTGTTTAAGCTCATTATGTTTATTACGTAAAGTACGTGTACCGTCTTTACATGTTGAACATGTTCGAAATGCTGCTGAAATGTCGAATTGTGGTAAGTAAATGAATAAACTTTACCATTCAAGAATAAAAGACCATGACTTTCTATTGATGAATGTGTAATGTAATTAAAGAACATTGAATGTATTTGAATCAAATTAATGATCTCATTTTCAAAATAGAAGCTGATTATGATGTATACAAACTGAAATATGCAAATTTTTACGTATAGACTGTATATTGCCAAACTTTTGACATTGCAATAGGATTTGTTTTTTTTCTCTTTCTCTCTAGTTGCATAGAGCTCGTCGAGTTACATACGAAAGAGTTTGTTGTACATATAGAAAAAGAATGTTTACGAAAGTTAGAAGTTCAGTTCTATGTATCATTATATTTTGCATTAATGATATTGTGAACTTTTCTATTAAATTTTTCATGTATAACTCGAAGAGTTCTATTCAATCATGAAAAAGAAAGACAAAAATAAATCCTGTTGAATTGTTGATACCTGGTTCACATTCGAAATGCCTTAAAAATCAAATATCTCAGTCTATCTAGGTCATAAACACGTCACATTATTGACTTTGTTAGATTGTCAGTAAGATCTTTAATTTGATACGAATATGTTCAATATTCTTGAGTTGTAAGACTAGTGTTCTACATGAATATGACTTTTCGCAATCAGAGCTAATCGACATATGGTAGATACTTTTTCAGACTTAGTAAACTTTTATTTTATATGAAAAAATATACTATTTAGTTTCTCCCACAAACATCAATAAAAAAAAGGAGATCATTTAAAATTCAACAAAATATACATTCGCTTGTCGTTGATGATGCTGAAGTAATACAACGTTAGAGTCAGATGTCATAACTGTGAATACATACATGAATGCTTTTGTCAACACGATAATACATCTTGATTTTTTTTCATAATTCATTTTTCTCTCAATGTATTCAATTACTTTGTCAGATAGTTCATCATCATCTATAGATGTGTTTTTATAAAAAAAACAAATTCATTTCTTCAAGCTGTATCACTTGTCATTTTTGTGACGTATTCTTCAGTACAATAAATTGTTCAATTATGATCTCATTAAAAAAAAATTCAGTGGATTTCTGATACAAGCTTTTAGAAAGCTCATGGCTTTTTATTCTGTATGAGAGGATTTACTTTATATTTTAATTACTATATTGATTTTTTATTAATATCAAGGCATTCCACCAGTGTTAACATTAAATAATCACATATTTAGTGAATTTGATGAAATAGCTAATTTCATTGAACTTAAAGTAAATTCGATTGAATTTAAAAAACTAAAATTTTATTTTACTACTATGAATCTATTAATAGGGATTACTTAAAGTAGAAAATGAAGAAAATACAATAGTGGATAGTTATTCTATTTTATGTACTGAAATACTTGGAGGTTTAATGGTTTGTAATATTATTTATTTTTGTTTTTTTGATTCAATAAAAATTTTTAGTTATGTTTTTTTTTAGAAATATTTTTTACTATGTGAAAAAGCTGGACCGGTTAGTATGAATAAAAAATTGAAATATAATCTTATTCTATTTTGTTGTTATATATATATATAATTAATTAGACTGTATATCAATCATTTACGTCTGTCTATCCATGGCCTCTTGGTTTGATACTATTTTTAATATATCGAAATCGTACAATAAAAAATTTAAAAGTAAAAGAAATTTGGCCATTGTCTTATGAACAAGTATATATCCATCGAATATAGAAAAAACAAGGAACTAAAATAATTTAATTTTAGGCTTTAATTAAATTTGAAACAACTGTTAGAGCACTTTCAAATAAAATTCAAGAAATGAATTCAGGTTATTTACTTGGTAATAAGTATGTATCCAAAATGAAAATTCATACAAATTCCTATGTAATAATTGTTTTGTTTTTCCAGTTTTACAAAAGCTGATGCTCATCTCTATGGCCATTTATATACGATTCTTCATACAAACATTAGTGAACATGAAAATCTACGAAATGTACTTCTTAGATATAAACCATTA